ATTTATAAAAAAATTATTTTGTTATTAATAGCACATTGTCTAATAGATAATATATATAGTAATATAATTTTTTTAATTTTTTTTTTTTAGTCAGAATTTGATTTTCTCAGAATTAAACGTACATTTAATCCGGTCGAATTATTCACGCTTGACCGAAATTGATTGTATCGCACCCATCAGTCTAGAGTCTAGATTGTTCGCCAAACTACAATTCCGAGTGTCTAATGGCTCTTAAGATCATAAAATGTCGTCCTTACGAGCGGTTAACGCTCGCCTGATAATCAAATGCATGCAAGGTAATAGATCCTGCCAGTCTCCTTGACGCCTTCGAGTACCTGAATGACTCTTACATCATTCCGCGTTAATAGAATCGCTCATTTGCGATGCAAGGAGTGTTGCTGCTTTCGCGTAGCTGTTACCGAGAAGAAATTGTGAAATCGCTAAAACTACACGGCGCCCTACTAAAAATATTTTGAGAGAACAGTGTTATTTTTACATATATAATTAACCGATTAAAAATTCTCTCTCTTTTTCATGGTATTTTTTATTCAAATAAGTGTCAGTCTTTTGTGTAAGTAATATACTAATAATTGTTTTTAGAAAATATTTCTTAAAAAATTTTAATCACACAGACAAGGTTACGCTTTCCATAGATTTATTTTTTAATGCAGATATTGTGCCTTTTTCTTATGTGAAAAAAATTATTCTAAAATATGTTACGTCGAAATAAATAATTTACATGGCGAGATTATTAAAGTAACAAGACACGTTTTTTGTGCTGGAACAAAATATATATCTATATCGATAAATATATATTTACATATCGAGCTTTCATTATTTATAATATAATTTTATATTTATAATATTTTATATTATTTTATATTTATAATATAATATAATTCTAAAAAGTCAGTCCGATCATTCCCATACTCTTGACCCTGACTGTCTTCGAGTTACCCACTTTCCCGTTTTAGCACTTGGAACTTATGACACCAGGGTCCGTACGAAATTCGAGCATCGCTATTTTAGAACCCATCACGTTCTATTCTCGCTACTAGTAAAAGGAAAAGAGAGAGAGAGATAGAGTGAAAAAAAACTTAAGTAAAACATAAATCCATTTATCTTTAAATAATTTCGAAATTTGATTTACACTATTATATATCAAATAAATTGCTCATAAGAATAAGGTATGTATGATTTAATTTAGAATAAAATTTAAGGTATGTATGTTAAATTAACTTGCAACTTGCAGAGTATCATATATTTCTTATTTACACAATTTTTACTGTTAATTGTATTATTCATGCGTAATGATAATATGTAGTGTAAGTTAAAATTTGAGATATTGAAAAATTGAAAGTTGACCAAGAGATAAATGTCAAAATTTAAAAACTGAATACTGAGAGAGTTGAATATTATTGAATATTAAAAACTGAAACAACATTAACAATTGAAAATTAAAATATGTGCGCCCTAAGAATCAATTCACGCATATACGTATTTCAAAAATAATGATAAAGCAAAATTTGAATTTAGCACGTATTAAAAATGTAAGAATGTCGTCAAAAAATTAATCTCACCGCGACGATTATACTCGTCACTGTCTGTTAACACATTCATAACTGTAAGAGAAACGTTTTACCGCGTTATAATTGTCATCATGATAAGAAAAGAATCCTCGATGAAGAAAAGAAGAACAAGAAGGATGACGAAAAGGAAACCGGATCTACGAATCTGCTTCTGGCGGAATTTTCTCCTCGCGAAAATTCTTTGGATCGTTAAAGAGATGTAAACGTTGTGCATCTCTTCTCTTTCTCCTTCCTGCAGGAAAAGAGGGCGAGTGACCCGGAAATTCCGACACGCCAAAGTGAATATTGAACATACTTTTTCAAGCAGAACTAAGGCAGACTAAGCTTCTATGTTACTGGTCGGAAAAATTTTTTATCTCAAGATTGCGTAATAATATTACACATGATTTCCAGCATTCGGTCATAGATTTACGTTTGAAATAAGTATATGTCAAAAGGGAGATCTTGAAACAGATACTATTAAAATTGCTGCATATCCATAAAATGTATGATTGATAGGTTAATGTTGAATCAGATTTCTTCCAATTCAATACTCAATCTTTAAGACTCTTTTATCTTTGTGTATTAAACCTATATCTCTTTTTAATTTTTTGTATTTTTTATATTTTCTAACAAAATTTAATTTAAATTTTATGCCCGAATTAAATAAATAAGTGAAATTTAAATTATAATTTCTGGAAGTAATATCAAAATCAAAATAGTTTAATTCATTTTAAGTAACTTTTGCAAAAACAATTATAACTGTTTCTCAATCGAAAATTAATTTTTTATGAGCTTATTATACATGTATAACTCTGTGAAAGTCCCGCACAAGTTAGTCCGCAAAATCGTCCTTGAATTTATTGATTGGATCGATATGTCTAAAAGTGGTACAAATTATTTGTTTCAAAAAGAATTATGTTTGCTATTTTATCTCGAAATTTATCTTATTCATTAAATATATGAGATCTATTGTTCATTAGGTATTTAAGGAAAGAGAGAGAGAGAGAGAAAAAGAGAGATGTAAGAACAAACCGGAATTTTTAAAACGCTGAGTAGTGGCATGATATTGGATGAGTAATAAAAAGAAGCCATTATTTTTGATTGCTAGTTTTGTGGGTTACGTATAAAGTCTGCGAGCGCTCGATGTAATTATGCGAAATGTCATCTTATAAAGAATTTCATTTGCCTTCATTTCTCTCTCTCTCTCTCTCTAATATTCTTTGAAACACAAACACATACACACACACACACACACATTTATCATTTTATTGTTATTATTATTATTATACCATTACTATTATTATCATTTACATTGTTTAACACGAAATTAATTGACATATTAGGAAATAAAGTATTTTTTAGTTGAATAGTTATTTCGATTAAGTATTTCTTCCTTTCATTTTGAATGGCAAGATATATTGCTGGCTATTAAACTAACATTCCACCACTGCAAATGGATCAGCCATGTGAAATGATAGAATACTACACATATTTTATAAAAGCATCTAGAGCAACACGTTCAATAAGAATAATTACAGAATTAATGATGTAGTGTGAGAATTTTTTTTCTCGTGTACTTCTCGTGTCTATGTATGAATAAATTTTATTTCTTTTATCTAAAATGAATTTTTATCTATTATATTTTCTATTTTTATCTTTATCTTTATATATTTATCTTTATATTTTTTTTATTAAAGGTCATCTTTATTTTGCTTAATGTTGAGTCATTTTCAATTTTTAAAAATAAAAATGCGTTTTCAACATGTAAATTTATAACAATTCAGCGATATATAAATTTAAACAATAGAATAATTTATATTTTTATATAAAGTCTTTTTGAAGGGGAGAATTTTTTATTGACATACATTTATTTTTCAGCGTTTTTTTTTTTGTACTAAATTAAAAATATTTCATTAAAATATCTCAATTTAAATCAATTCCATTGCATTTTTTATTGTACGAAAAAAAAGATTTATTGAGCTCAATATAATATTTGCTCCATTTTTACTACACGCTAGCTATATCTTAGCATGGGATTTTACGCGCGGATTATTAGTTGGATTCTATATGACAGAGATACAGTATCATAGTCATTCACGCATCCGCAAATTAAGAACGTCGACGCGAAGCGATAATCATACCGGCAGCTGGCGAAATGACAGTCATACAGATGTTAACGACTTTAAAAAATGTGATATCCATTATTTCTATGGATATTGTAATTTTTTACGTCCAGTTTGTTTTTCTTGGAACTTCTTTAGAAGTCAGTTTAATTTTTATCTTCTTCAACATTTTATCACGTCTAAAGTGATGACATATCGGACATGTTTGTTAGAAATATTTATATTGCGTTGCTAATACTTATTTCTAAGAGAAATGAACTATCGAACGGTGAATACAAGCCGATAACGCAGCTAATTTCTCGGTAAGGAAATCGGATTTCAAAGCACGTGCGACGTTAATAATAATAGCATCATCGACTACTTCGCAGCTTAAATGCCTCGGTATTAGCATCATTTTTAAAGCATTAACGATAACGAAAGATAATAAAATTCGTCATACTATTTTTCCTGAGGAATGTTTCACATTAAACATATCGAAATACAGAAAACAAAATTAACTGCGAATAAAAAATGAAAAATAATTCTTATATTTATTATATTTATTATATCTACGTAAATTGTATAATTAGTATTCTTATCAAATCGATCTCAACTATAACAAAATATTGCAAAAAATATTAGTAGAGTATTAATAGTATTTTTGCCGCACACATAAATATAAATCATTATTAAAATATTAACTTTACGTATTATTATGATTTTTCCGATTTTTATTTTTACGTAGAAATAAGTTACCGCAAGAGTGTTACGAAAAGTGCCCAATCATATCCTGATGCCACACGTACGAGTTGTCACAATAATCGGCATCCGCAGGATTGACCGAGGACGTTCGCGATGTATTCCCGGCGCATAATCACTGTGCGATAGTAGTGCGTACACACGCCCACGCATAGGAAAACACGCGCGCGATCCGGTACGTTCAACGTTGACACCGAGAAGGAAAGAGAGGGAGAGAGAGAGAGAGAGAGAGAGAGAGAGGAGAAAAGGACTCGTTGCGAAGGACGAACAAAGATGGAGAGAGAAGCGAGAAAAGTCGATGACAGTTCTCTCCCGAGAAAAATGTGATTCGCGGATTAAAATATGACAAGTATGACAGGATAAAAAACGATCGGGACTATATATTACACCGACATTCTCATAATTATTAATTAACGCCGGTGATAATTTACTCTCCGTCCCTTTGTAAAGACAGGAGTCGAGGTAAGGGCCCCCCCCGCGATGGGAGGGCTACGGAATTAAGGTTGGCAGGTAATTTGAATGAATATTTATGAGAACGTCGCACAATACAACGATGTTTGCTACTCACCTCCTCGAGGGACGTGATGGTCTGCCTGCACTGTGGCATTCGCGAGACGAAAGTGGACGTGGTGGGCGAGTTATAGTCCTCCCTCGTCTCCTCGACGAACTCACTCACGGCGATTAGGCCCGGCATCTTCTCTCTCTTTCTTGTTTTCCGTCAGTTGTTCCGTCTCCCGCCGTCCCACCCCACCCCACCCAGCCGCCCCCAAGCGCCCAGCTGCAACCGAGGCTGTCCCTTCGGCGGATCCCTTCTCCCCCTCGCTCACCTCGCCCTCGCCCTCGTCGTGTCGTTGTCGACGATCGCGCGCACTTTTCACCGTTCACTTCACCCGTTGTCCCTCACCATGAATAACCGCGGGACACCCTGATCAGCCCTCCTTTCGTCTCTCTCTTATCCGCGCTGCTTCCCGTGACGCGTCCCGGTGACAAGGAGCGAGAGGGCGGGGAAAAGCGAGCCCGAGGGAGAAGGAGGGAAAAACGGAGGGGAAAATGAATGACGAGGGACCGAGGAAGCGAGACAGACGGCAGGCTCGAGCGTATCCGGCAGCCGCCACCTTTCGTATTTTACGCACGGGGGGAGAGAGAGGGAGACACACACTCGCGAGACCGGCGCGATTATTTTCGCGACATGGTCGCGGCGAGCTTACCAGTCGTCGCGAGGAGGATGCATAACAGTGGCAGCAGCAGCGGCAACGACAGCTCGCTCTCGGCGAAGAGCGCGGGTCACCACGCATACGTCCATGCGCGCATATTATGCATATCACCGCGAACGGACCGACCGACGCACGCACGTACTTCACTTGTGCACGCACACACACACGCACGACAGGACACTCGCGCGCGGGCGCGTACGCAGCTGCGTCCGCGAGATGCTCCTTCGTACGCTAATCTCGCTTGAAATCGCGCATCAGCCACTGATTCGGTCGGTGCCGAGTACCGCCGAAACGCTCGCGACTGCGGCCGAAGTTCCACTGAGGCGGCGCTGTCGACGCGCGCGCGACCAGGCCTCCTACGTCATGAAACAAAGCGTACCTAGAGTGGGGATGCGCGACGTGATTGATGGCGCGTCGAAACTAAATTCGAGATATCGAATTAATATTTATAGCGGCGATATATATGTATATATACGTGGTTTTCGGCAAGGAACAGAGGACACAGTTAATACAGTGAATCACTTTATCCTTGTTGGTTGTCGAAATGTAAACAAGGATGAAATGATTCACTGTGTTATACTGTGTCCTCTGTATTTGTTGAAAAAAAATGTATAGACATACATATATATATAAAAGATTTTTCAATAAACAACACAGAAGATAGTATGATACAATCAATCATTTCATCCTTGTTTACATTCGGCAACCAACAAGAACGAAATGAGATCCACTATATTACAAAAAAAATATATATATATATATATATTTTTGATGCGGTCGTAATAAAGAAATGAGATTAATATATTATATATTATTATTCATTAAGATTTATTAAGATTTATATATGTTAATATATATAAATATTATATATATATATATAATATATTAAAAAATACAATTTATATGAAAATATTTTGAGATATTTTCAAACCAGTCAATAATTAGATCTTTTACAGACATTAATTTCTGTTACAGTTTTGCAATAAAAGTTTTTTACATAATTTAGATAAAATTATTTTCAAATTAGTGGAAATAAACAAGATTACAGTAATTCATTTGATTCAATAAAAAATCTGATGATAAAAGTATAAATTTGATCATAACAATAAAATTATATTATACTGTTACTATAAAATTATATTATTTGTTAAATAGAACTCAAAAAGCAGAGTTTTCAAAGGTTTATACATATGTTTTTTTATAAAAATTTTATTATATATAACATGAAATTATATATTAAAGTACAGTGTCTTGAAGCTTAAGCTGTTTTTTACTTTTAGCTTTAACCTGTGCAGCTATTCGATCCAAATCCCTGCGTCCTTGACTAGTTAATTTACGTCCACCAAGAGGTGCCTTTTCAATTAATTTTAGCTGTTCTAAACTTTGAAGAGCCTTGCGCGCAACACTACCCGCTGATCGGCAAAAGTGGCTGGGATGAGTACCATTGCGTTTGCGTCCACCAAAAATCTTTGTAACAGCACCAACTCCAATAGGACTACGAATATAAATGTGACGCACCAAGGCTGCGCACCTGATGTAATACCAATCGGGATCATAGGGAGCCAGTTCCTTGAATTTGGCCGTTTTCACAATGTCCACCCATTCTGGCACACGCATTTTGCCAGTCCTATAACAAAATATGACATAGAATTAGAAAATATCTTTAAACAGTAAATTATATGTAAATTATACTTGTATATTATCATGAATAGTATTGAACGAGAACTTTTAACTGTCTTTTTAAACTATATATTTCAGAGTATATATATATATATATATATATATATATAATAAATGATATTAATAATGATATTAGTATGTCTTAAGCATAATAAAATGTGTAATGTTATTTAGATTAGATTCGAGTTATATTTGTTACTCACTTTTTGAGAAAGGCTGCAAAGGCCTTTACAAATTTTTGCTGATCCACGTCTTTTAAAGTTACAGATGGCATCTGTGGAAAGAAAATTTGATTTATAAAAAATAAAATAATCAACACGTAAAATGTTACACATGTATGTATACACATGTGTAACATAAATGAACGAATTAAAGCGATGCTCCAAACATTCTAGGTTTGACATTTCGACCAGTAAAAGTCCGACAAGTCATTAAACCGATTGCATACATTTCTATCTTAATTTCCTGTTTCGTTTACTAAAAACAGTTAATTCGGCAGAAAACTGTCACCACAACACACCTTCGTAAGAGGACGTTAACCGGAAAGAGCATAACCTCACAGAACGGCTAAGATTATTCAATCTCTCAAGATGGGCAACCTTTATCCCAAAATGACACGACTGACGTTGACAGCGGATTGTTCAATGACAGCTACGTGATTCAGAGCAAAGTTCGTTCATAAATTAATTCGACAATCAGTCATTAATGCATTGTGACGCGACAAACAGCTGTGCTTTAAAAAAGAGGTTACGCAGCCTGTTGTGTAGAAAATATCTTTATCTCCTGTACATATTGCATAATGTTGCTCAACAGATACGATATGCGAATGAGTTGTCATCGTCGTCGGTCATGTTCAGATCTATCGTGGGATTTGCGGGATGAATAAGTGCGCGGTGACACGTAAAGACGTTTGTTTAAATAATGATTCGTAACCTCCGTCGAGTGTTGACTTCGTCAATAGTTGCGCCGAGAATTGGAACGCGTCCGAATCACACCATGTCCGACGTTCTAATGGAGCGGGTGCCCTTCTCGAGGGATTTTCTGTTTCGCCAGGTAATTCGCGCGATCTACGCATGTGTGTCAGCTGTATCTGTCATCTTACGGGCGGTACCTGGCACTTACAATTCGACGACAATAAACGCTTTCCGCTTACCGGAAATAAGTTGGAATTTTTTAACGAACAATTGCTCCAGCGATTGCTCTGAAATTGCTCAATCAAAATTCAACAATTGCTTCCATTTTTGCTTCCCTTTTACGATTCATATTTTTCTTGCAATATTTATATGAAATGTTAAATTTGTCATTTTTATTGAGAATATTTTTTCTCTGCAACTATGACGTAAAACGATTGCGCCTATTATTGTTCAATTATTACTTTAATAAGATTTAGTGAATTGTTCAAATTAAAAATTAACAAATTAATCATTTTATAAGCGATGACGTCACCTGTCGGTCGCTGTTAGAATAACAGAGCGGTCAATGGCGGGAATATATAAACGTAATGTAAATTAATAGAGCAAATGAAGACCAATTATTCTGCCAAAAAAAAAACCAATAAAAAATGTTAGTCAAGTTCTTTGATATAAAGTTATAAACAATAGAGGTTCTATTGTTTTTTTAATATTACATTTGAATATTCCCACCGTTGACTGAACCATGCAAGTTCCAATAGATGGCCGATAGGTGATGATATCGTCACTTGTAATAATGATTAATTTATTAATTTTCACTTAAACATGCAATAAATCATTAATGATGAAATTACGAGCAATTAAGGAGCAATCATTTTATATTGAACATAGTTGCAGAGAGAGAGGGGGAGGGGAGAAGAAGAGAGAACTATTAAAAATATATTTCCCAATAAAAATGATAAATTTGACATTTTTTTATAAATAAATGTCTTAAAAAATATTAATTTTATCGAACGAGAGCAATTGTTGATTCTGATGGCAATGAAGGAGAAATCATTTGAGCTATTTATTAAACAATTTGAATTTCCTACGCCAACTTATTTCCGCTTTTCAATTTAGCCAAATCGACTTTAGTGTCACTTGAATCAAATTTTGATTAATTAGCGGAATTATCGACAGCGCCATTTTTATCATAATTTATTCATCATTCTATTCTAAGTTAATCGATACTTAAGTTCATCGTGGTTCGTTCAATAGATAGTGGATAGATATATCCTGTAGGAATACAAAATTGTATCGATTGTATATATCTTATAGATGGAAAACACTTAATGGGGGACTGGTTGCATTTTTTTTACATTTTGTGTAATATATGTTAAAGATTGTGGAAAAAATTGCCAAATTAAAAATCAAAATCTTTCCGCCAGACTCCAAAATTATTATAACTATTTTTCTTGCTTAATTTTACATATTTTCAAATTATTATATCGAGATAGTTTAAAAAGTATAAATCGATATATAATTATATAGAATATTCTAATATACATAATACATAATAATATTTCTTACATCTTTATATACTCAAGATATTGAAATAGAAGGAGAAAATAAAATATTTGAACAATATCATAAAAGAGCGAGATGAACAGATATAAAGCACAAATATAAATATTTCTTTTAGTTGTATTTTCTCTCATATATTTACTGTATTTCAAATAAAATTTATGCGAATTCAATATTTCGAAAAAGAGGAGAGATATTGTATGAAAAAAAATGCAACTAAAAAGATCTAAATTCTGTTCTTTATAGCTGTATAAACAAAATAGATAGACTAGACAAAATAGATAGACTAGACTAAATAGATAGACAAAATAGATAGAAAATAGATAGTTTTATACTCTATGTAAAACAAAACAATACAGAATTTCGAACAAAATAAAGAGAGGAAAGAAAGAATTGTAGTAAATGTGTATATGTATGCATTTTTTCAAATTAAGCAGAACATACTGAATGTTAAATTTAAAAATTTATTATGATTTTAATGTAAAATTTATGAATGATATTTTAGGTTTAATTAAATATTTCAAAAACGAGTTTTTTTATACATGGATGCAAATTTGAAATAAATAGTCTCCTAACGAAAATATTCAGAGACATTATTAATTATACATGTTTTTGAAATATTTGTACATGCAACAAACAAATTATTTTGATCAATTAGATGAAGTTATATTCATTTTTCAACGTTTTATATATGGTTTTGATGATGATTTGACGATTATTTTAAATCTGTATTGTTTTTGTTATACATATCTGTATTGGTTAATTTTTTTAATGGATACGTTGATACAATTTTTTCCATTTAATTATAGTAAATATTTGAAAATGGCTTGGACGAAAATTTGATTTATCGACCAAAAGATAATTGATATCGGATTCATCTTGAGATAATAAAAGTAAAACATTTATTATTATTTTGATATTTACTGTTTTAATTTATACAGCACAACAAGTTATATATATATTATATTTTAACAAAATGTAACATAAGGTAATAAGTTATAACGTATAATGCTATTTATTTGGAAATTGTCGAATAAAATTAATACTTGTTTCGACTAAATGTCTATAAACGTATATTGATTTAACAAAGAAATAATTTTGTGACAAAAATAATATTATAACATTTTCGTTGTTTATACGGATTTATGTGTAAAGCGAGTTTTATTTTTACTTAGAGTGGTGTACGGGAATGTAAATGAAATATTTCAATAAAAAAAGAGAAATATTATACATTTGAATTATTCCAGAAAACATTTGCTATTAACAGGATTAGTGAATATGGCATATTAATATTGGATAAGATAAAAAAAATATTTTATATTTTGTGATAATGGTTCCGGGCAACCGCACATTTTCAAAAAGTTATATCTTTAATTATTATGCACGCACATGTTATATAGAGAATCAAAAGTCAGAAAAAACAAAATATATATAAAATCTAAAATACATTTTGCTCAACATTGTAAATGTGAAAAAACGCTTGTTATTATTAAATTGATCAACTTTTATTTAATGTGTCTAGAAATATAGAAAACGTACTAGTAAATATAATTGAAAAGTATTACTCAGAAATTTTTTTATCTTCTTTGTATTTTTATTATCTTATTAACTCTATATTTTATATCTTATTAACTCTATATTTTATATAACATATGATAAGAGATAAGAGATTAGTATTACCTCACTTATCTTTTTGCATTTGATTCTTGAATTAATTAATACATTAATGTATTGATTAATTAATTAAGACATTAATGTATTGATTAATTATTTATATATATATTTAATTTTATTTTTTCTACGTATTATTTATTATTAGTTATTTTTAATTTTATTTATAATAATACAATTATGAAGATAAAATCAGAAAAATGATATATTATAAACGACAACTTATTATTTACAATGTAATTTCGTTGCATATCCGCATTATAATGCTAAACAATATAAATAATTTTTTAAATTTCCAGCTTTTCGATCCAATATCGAGCACATATACATATTTGCTAGCCGATATCAATGATAAGGAAGCAGTTTTAATCGATCCAGTCATCGAATGGGTTGAACGTGATAAAAATCTCATCGAAGAACTGGGATTAACATTAAAATACGCCCGTAAGTTGTTATCTAACATATTATTATCTCGCAAATAAATATTGCTCTTTGGGAAAATCGATATGAGAGAAACACATCGAAAAATCACAAAATTTTTCAAACTGATTTACATTCATATTTTTCATTTGATATTATTTAATCAAAATTATATGTTTTTTAATTAGATTATCCATGCACGAAGTATATTTATATATTTTGAAAAAAACTTTAAATGTTTCAAAATACACGTTAAAAAAACATATCAATTTATAGTAGCAATTTTTTAATTTTTGAAATTTAATTTGTACCGAATATAGAAACTGTTAGAGTAGATATATTGATTTTGCGTCAGTCATCTTTGCAAATTTAATTTTAGAGGAACATACTTAATTGAAGTATATTAAAGTAATATATTTCTAACATTCTTATACGTACTTTCTTTCGAAAATCGAATTATCATTTTTATTTGAGGAAATTAATTACTGAAGCGCGCCATTATCGCGATAAGATACCAGCTTTTTCTTAAGTTTATATATATATATATATATATATGCAATTTTAAAGATATTTAAATATCAGATGTATTAAGTGTATATTGCATATTGCATTTATTTTTACAACTGTATAACTCGCAAAATACTAAACTGATATGTATTGACAAGTGTCTCTCTTTTTATTTTTACAATATTATATCTGTTTTTTAGAACTTTTTCAATTTCCTATGCTTTTCCAATTTCCTATATTTTTAAGTCTCATTGAATTTGACACAACTTTGAAATTTGAACAAATTGTCTAATAGTATTGACTAGATTATAATAATCTATAAAAATGAGTTATAAAAATTATACTCTCTCTCTTGTATACACGCGATACTTGTAATAATAATTAGGAGGTATTTAACATTAATTATGCGAAATCAATTATATTCCAATATTACAAATATAACATTTTAAAATTTATTGACGTTCTCCATAAAACGCTTTAATCGATAATTAATTAATATATATTTTACTTTATACGATAACAAAATATATTATCTTATTATCGTTACTCATTCGTCGGAAATGTACTTGTCGGCAATTACACGATGCCACGTAATGTGATTTACGAGCCGAGCGCAGAATTATATTGCAAACTATCCTACTAACCGACCAATATTTGCCGAACTTCATAATGAATTGGCATGCAATCCCACCATGCTGCCTAAGGACGGTCGCGCATAGTTTTGCTATTGTTCCGGGGGTTAACACGGGGCCGTGGACCATAAACCCGGTTGAGAGTGTGTCCAGGTATATCGTTGAACTTTACCAATATCGATAAAGAACTTCGACTTTAGATTACGATCCAATTTTGCCATAATATTCGAAAATATCGCGTGATAAATGTATTATTTCGTTGATCATGTATTATTTCGTTGTGCTTATCGCGTATGAGAGCGGATCTGCATGGAAATTAATGAAGTTTAATTCTTAACTCTTTCTCAAAGTACTTTGTGTTTGTCTAATACAGTATGTCTCTTTAAAATCTTATAATTACAGAAATATTATATTTATTATTAAAAATATAACAATGAAAAAAGGAACATAAATAAATTACATCGAAACGTTGTAAGAATCAAGGATAGATTAATAGTCATTATTGCAAAAATTTTTTTTATAATTATATTTTATTTTATATTATATTAATTATATTTTTTTATCATCATTTTAACTTTGAGAATATATATATGAAAATATGTATTGTAAATATACACTATTAAAACACAATATTAAAATTTAAGCATATGTTATGATTTTTATTTAAAGATGTACACAATGTTTTTTTCTTTATTCAACATTAATTTTTATTAATAATTATGCAGATTCCCTCTCTCTTTTTCTCTCTTTGTCTTTCTCTTTCTCCGAAAAATCAATAATCAACGTTTTTGTTTCGCGAAAGATATTAATCCTTTTCAGTCGAAATTTGTATCCTCAATGGCAAAAACTTTCGGTTCGGTAAAAAGATACATAATACTGTATCGTATATCAGGGTAGATAGAATTAGCATTACTTATTGTGTTATCAGACCGCGAAGTGGTTTTTGCGAGGAATCTCTTTGGCCAAGTGGAGCATATGCACTTGTTTATGCGAAGCTCTGCATATGCCAATTCTGTTCCGAACAAACGAACATTTCCATAAAGCATTTCTCTCTGTTTTCCAATAATGCATACACTATTAATACCATTCAACTTCCATAAAACTATGCGAATTATTCGTAATTCAACTGTGTAAAGAGCAGAATAACTAATTAATTAAATAGATTATTTAACATAATATAATTATTCTCTATTTACACGTTTGTATAGATATTTAAAAGAATAAAATATTCCAAAGTTCTTTCGACATGAGTTTAGAATTTTCGATCAATATCAGAGCATTATAAGCTTTTAAACAAGGTCGATATTAAATATTTAAAAATTAATTCTATAAATAATTAATAAATTTACATTTACGTCAAGGTATATATGTTTTTTTTTAATTTCTTATCTTAAATCGATATTAAATATTTAAAAATTAATTCTATAAATAATTAATAAATTGACATTTACGTCAAGGTATATATGTTTTTTTTTAAATTTCCTATCTTATATAATTTTCTATGTCGTCTTATATATACGTGTGTGTATATGTGTGTTGAGCTAGCATATCATGAGCTATTTTTCTTATTGAAAAGCATGTTCGTCGGTTCTGGGATGTTCCGTAGCGCATTACGGAAGCATGATACAGCGACATGATCTCGGGCGAGCTCGGCAATACTTATCGATTATGCATTTACCGGTAACAATGACTAGCATTTTTGCTCCATGGCAATCTTTCTCGCTGTTACAGTCAACACGCACGTGCACGCAGACCATATCACCGGGTCGGGTCGACTGAAGTCACTGTTACCTGATTGCAGATCCATGATATCACGCAGAAGCGGGGCCGAGGCGGACATACTCCTGGAGCCATACGATCATATCCAATTCGGCAGATATCAATTGAAAGTGCTGCCCACCCCAGGTCACACCGAAGGTGAGGTTCTCCTTAAATCAACTAATTTACCATAGATTTTAAAAAATGTATACAGGATATCCGGCGACCTTATAACATTGACAATTTTAGAATAAATATATAATAAATATATATTTAGATATTTACTAAAATAAAATAATGTGAAAATTTGATTGCAATCTAAGTTTACGAGAATCGATAATTTTTATCATATTTTTCTTTATTATATTTTTTAATGGTTATAATGCTTCCAGCTGTTTATTTTATATCTTAAATACAAATGATATTTTAAGTATTTCGCAGGACACCTTGTATACAGTTTTATTTTTTGCAACTTATTAATCTTCAATCTCGAAAATAACTTGCAAAAATTATATTATCGAAGAAGTATAATGTACGATGTTTCTTGACAGACAGATTGCGATAGTAGTTCTGTTTTTTATTTATTTATTTTTGAATAGTAAAATATACCATTGCCCATTTAGCATTTTACCATCGCCTATGTGTCAACTACATGGTGTGGTAAAACAGCGCTGCTCTATAAAGGACTAAGTGCATAGTGTATCATATTTGATACATATGTGGATTTTCAGCATTTTCTCGACATGTTCTGTGAGCTATTTCGCGTTACGATAAACATACATGATATATGTTGTTGTCTCGTCGAGTCTAAATGAAAAATGAATATTCATTTTTTTTTCTCTTTCTCTTTTTTATCTTTTCCATTTTTTAAAATTACTTCATATTCTTTGATATATCTTTTATAAATAATAGGTATTTTTGAGCTTTAGCTTAATCTTTCGCTCAAAAAGAAGCTTTATATTTATTAAAAATAAAATCTGTTATTTTTTAATCTTTCCTTTCCATGATTCACTATATATGTATTTTATGTTGTGTATTTTGATACTGTATATATTATTATATTTCGTGTACTTTTCACATTATACATATTTCATATTTTACGTTTTTGTAATATATTTAATAATCTAGTTTAATCAATTCTTAATACATTCGCGTGATAATACAGAATACAATTTTCGAGTGACGCAAACATCTCGAAATTACAACAGATAAGTTACAGATAAATTCATAATTTTATCGGGTTACATTTCTTGCGCAATCGATCGCGTTCGTCTGGTCTATTATTTTATTAATTGAGATGCCGAGAAAAGTGGTGAAATACTTTCTTGTGAGAATGGTGAGAGGCGGCGCTATTTTATACGTGGATTGAAAAGATCAAGGATATAATGCGCGTCTTTCTCGAGAACTACAGAAGATGAAGTTAAAAACTTAAGCATTTAAAAATATGACGTAAATTCAATAATTTCTAACATGAAATAAAGATATTTAATACAAACGCAAAGAAAAGAAAACAGAAATATGAAAAATATTTATGATTACGATTTTAATTCGAGTTGTAAAAAGCTGATATTAAATATTTATGTAAAAATTTATTTTATTATTGTAATTTTAATATTTTATTACATTATTCTTTTATGTTATTTTTATGAAAGCATATATATACTAACGACATAAAAATATAATTTTTCCAGACTTTTAACATATTTTTTTCAAGATTAAAATTTGATTTCAGTATTTTAATTATGTCTAATCTGTCTCTCATATGTTTATCTCTTTTTTTCATAATCTTTTTATGTTCAGAACAAAATGTATTACGTCGCATTCTGAATTTCACACGTGTGTTGTGTATAAAATATAATATTCCTAGCTTAATTTGAAAATTCTTCTTTATTCGGAAAATATTATAGATGCAATATTTTTGTAGCTTTTTAACTTGCATATTCGTAGCTACTCCAATATCTTTTCTTATAATTAAGAAAGTATTCTCGCTCAAGCCGAGATGATCTTATTCACCGGATGTCCCAGAACTTACTGCTCCTATCGGAAATTATATATTTCCTGATTAACTTAAAGTTCATTTCTCTTTAACAAAAAATTAATAGAATATTATTTTACTCCCGATAATTGTTTTAATATATTCAACTTAAGCGTTTCGTAATTAATCTAAAAATTTAATTGTTTAAAGTAATTATTCTTGAAATTGTTAAATTGAATTATACTTGAAATTCACCAAACTTTATTATGAAATAAAAAATAATTTTTTATTATATTTATATTATTTCAGTTTTAACACAAACTTAGGAAACTGTTTTTGAATTTATTATTTCTAATTGGTTAATAAATTAATTTTTTGGCAACAAATAGCCCTTTTTTTAAGTTTGATTTTTAACATTTTCGGTAATTTTAGAGTACTTTATATTTATACATGTGTATATTGCTATGCTATCGGAATTTACACGATGGAATGGGCCAAAAAAAGAGGGTTCTTATTGATCGTGCCAGATTTGCTACTCGTCGTGACTGACTCAATCGTTTGTCCAAAGGAAATCCTAAAGGCGCCTAAGCTATCTCGATATCGTATCTGCTCGATAGGCTCAATTTTTCGTGCTGAGCACATGAATAGCATACATTAAATATCTATAAGTTAAATATACCAGCTTCATCCCCTAAAAAAGTAAAGCTCATACGATGTGAATTTTTATACACCAAATTCTTATATATATCTTATATATTTCAATTTTTTTTGCAATATTAGTGGGCCGCATTTATTGTACGCATTTAATGTACGTGACGAGAAAAGAAAATCAACAAATATTTGATAAACTAAATATTTATATGAAGAACTATTTATATGAGAATTTATATAAATAATTCCGATACACGCAGAATGTTTCAAAAACCTTTTCAACAATTTATAAATTAAAAATCGCTGAGTAATTTTCTATATTATTATTTTTGATTAAAATATCGGAACGTTTATTATTTTGGAATTATGTCATTAAAAACAAAACGAATCACAAACAATCTTTTCCATAAAATAGATATTACATTATATTTATTATAAAATTATTGCAATGACGAATATTAATTTAATCTTTAGTTAAATCTATTAAGGAAATGGCTATTGTATGTAATTTTATCATTGGAAACTCATTATACGCATTTATGCAATCATATCTTATTTTACCTCAATTCTTTAGGTACAAATCATAATTTCTATGTTATAGGGTAGCTATTCATCTCATTCAACATTTTTCAAGCGAGTGTAATATATCTGTTCGCAATTCCCTTCTTTTCTTTTTTTTGCCAACGCAATATCGCAAATAGGATGAACGAGCTGACGAACGAGAACTCAATTTATCGTGCCGACCGATTACGAAGCGAATCGCCGCGAAAAGATAGATATTCCGTTCAAAAAACGACGTGATGCTTGCCGGATGGTGGTCGTGTGAAGTGAAGCACGATATCGTAAATATTCCATCTGATACTTGTGCAGGTTGCGTCACGTACGTTTGCGATGAGCAGGCAATCGCGTTTACGGGTGATGCACTCTTGATACGAGGATGTGGCAGAACTGATTTTCAGGTAAGCCTGACCGAAAAATCCGCCGGAAAAGTCGCGTATCTTTGCGAACACATGGAATTATCGCACGTTCCATAGCATGAATATCCACCTTTAAAGCGCGTGCAAATCATATTTTTGTTTTTGAAAAATTTACGATAATATTTAATGTAAAAATACAGTTACATTATTAATAATATTCTTTCACGATCATAAAAAGCAAAAAACAAAAGAAGAATCTAAATTTTTATATTATATTCTATATAAAAAAGATTTTTATATATTTTCCGAAAATGTTTTTTAATCTGTCATTACTTTAAGCTGTACCAATTTCATTTCAGTGGTTTGTCACGAAATCTAATCATAAATAATCAGCAAATGAAACTTGCAGTTTGGTGGCTATGTTAGCGTTAAACGTGCGGTGAAAATAACTCTAAAGTTTCTCCGTAAAGTTGAAATTCATCCTTTCCTGGAGAGAATATGCAATCTCTTGCATGTTAATATTATATGCATGTTCTTATTCTGCTTGCAACTTTTAATCAGCGACACTTTAACTAAGATGTGACAAATGCAGAGTATGCTGAAATTATCGCAATTTTTCGCATTTTTTAATTAATTTAGAAGCAAATCTTTTTTCTTTAGACAAAAATAAAAATATGATTCAATTCTTTTTATTTACAAACTTTATTTTAACTAAATATTTCTTGTTTGCTTAATTTAAGGTTTGTTAAGATTTTATTTATTTTTAATGAATTTTAATATTGTAATTTAAAGAATTGGAAAAAATGTGCAATCTCTCTCTCTCTCTCTCTCTCTCTCTCTCTCTCTCTCTCAAAATATTTCCAAGGAATTAACTATGAAATTTGTCAAAAGAATTGATGTATGAAAAAATGTGATAATTTTTGACAAACTATATAAATGATAGATTGCACGTGACTCGTAAAGCTTTTTTCCAAATCTACACTCATGAATTTATTAGTTTACGCATTAATTCCTATCGACAAGTTACTACTGCATCTCTTTCAACAAATCATTGTCGCTTAATCAAAATGAACGCTTTCTTTTTTAACCGGAAATATCGCTCGCGATTTGTCGCCGATATAATTGTCGGATGTCGATAAATGGCGTTTATTTTGTACGTCATAACTAATCGACGATCGATGCCGACCTGGAACAGACACGGACGTCGCGGCAGCATCCTGAATTCTCGTTGAAACGTCGACGGCCGTGCGCAATAACATTTTCTCTCCATCCCGCATGTAGCACAAGTAAACGTCGATATATCAACCGGAATATGAAAGACTTCTTTCCGCAACTCGCGTGTGATGAATAGCCGTCCGTCATCGTGTTCGACCGCATGCCGGTGCATTTTATAAACGTGCCTTCTCCTTGAAGCTCGATTAAACGATCTTTTAACATAGGAAAAGCGAGGGAAATTATTTTTGTCCAATATAACATATTTTAAATTAGAGTAATTTCATTTCATTGCCTGACAGTGACTTGATACACAGAGAAAAATATCATTCTACTGCTAAGAAAAGCGATCACTCGGTTTATTTTTCTGTTTTTAAGTAATAGTTTTCTTCAACAGAGAATATATTCTTGATAAAAGTCTTAAAATATACTCATTCATCACAATCAAGTGTTAGAAAATCTCATTATCATGTACTCAAAAAAAGAATTTATTTTCTCTTCAAGAATATTGTAAAGTTGTATCAAAGAAAAATCAAACTTACTGTACGCCAACTCCATGTAGTAAGCAAACCAAATTTTTGTTTTAATTTAATATTCTTGATTAAAATATTGTACTTACTAAACTTCAGAATATATTCAATTAAATTTAATGCTTGCGATGAACTTATGATATATTTGCGGATATACAAACTTACGATATACTTAAAATAAATAATATTTACTTGACTACAGTATACATTTTCCTTTGTGTAGAAATCGAGATTAATTTAATCTCTGTCAGTTCTAATTTTATAAGTATGTGAAAATGATTCGTTCCAAATTTATCGAGATAAACATTCAGAAACATCTTAATTTCGATTAAATTAATTTAAAACGCCACGTGCATATTATTTTAATTGATTATGTTTGATCATATACATTTCATTTCCGATCATCATCGTATACAGTTTCACAAGTAGTCTTCTGACATATTGTAATTGCCATCCGGTCGAAATGTTTCACCATCTGCGCGCAGGGCGGATCCGCTAAGATCCTGTACAAATCTGTTCACGAGAAGATATTGAGTTTGCCGGAATATTATCGACTGTATCCGGCGCATGATTACAACGGCAGAACCGTCACCACCGTAGCCGAGGAGAAGGCTTTCAATCCCAGACTATCCAAATCGCTCGAGGAGTTCGTCAACATTATGAATAATCTGAATCTTCCTTATCCCAAGATGATTGGTAAGTTTTTTTATATAGAAAGAATTTTTTTCTTTACGTCTTACTAATATTTATATTTTATTACCATAATTATTATTAATTATTTATTATATTTTATTACCATATTTATTATTAATATAAAATTTATGTCATAAAATCTGATGGTGTGTTAATATAAAAACTAAATTTGTTAATTTTGCCTCTTTTCTCCTTTTATTTAAACGTGCATCATAAATTTTTTCAAATATATATGTTTCATTTAAAATTTTGAGCCATCTAGATTCTCGTGGTATTATAAATTCTGTTAGTACAACGCTCTCGATAATAGTCGGAAATAATTAATGCACCAACAGAAGAGAGGATGGGAGGACTGTTGCACTATCTATGAGGCGTTATCAAAATGGTTCTCTCGCAGAAGCTCGGTTGCACAGATTCCATTGGGATTTGCATTTTATTTTTGGAGTTGCTTATTACTATCAGCTGATAAGCTAATAGCTGTCTTTGAGATATTACGATGTAGATACATCTTAGATAGACTGAAATGAACGCTGAATCGGTGAGAAAATAGCGTCGATCGTGCAGACGAAGCGCTCGATCACGTAACTTTTTACGAGTGAAAAGTGAAAACTCTCGAATTCCGCACAAATTTGCGGAAACAGTGTAACTTTTTCCGGCACGAAACGATGGGATATGATTGAATAAGATGTGAAGCGACGCAGGGCAACGAATTGAAAAAGTTCCTTGACAATTATGTGATTGACATAGAAAATTCAGTGATAAAAAGAATTTTTAATAAAATAAGTAACATAAAAAAGATTTTATATAAATAATCTCTTTCTTTATGAACGTATGAATTTCGAATGTTCGATGTTAGGAATTGATTTCAAGGTATTACATTTTTTAAAGTTATTTTTTATTTCAGTTTCTTTATTTATGACGCGATATTATCGAAAATCAAAGAAAGATTAATAAAAATGATTTCACAGAGAAAGGAATATTTTTGTAGCAGCTATGTCGCTTTCGCATAAATCGTGGCGCGCCTAAATATTAGATGAGCAGAGACGCCGTTACATCTTGTCGGTGAAGCGAAAGGAGATCGATGAAATTGCATCCCATCGAATGTAGAATAAATAAGCCCTTTATCTCACTTGACAGCATCTTGAATCAAATTTTAAAAATTCTGTTAAAATAATAATATTTTAATCAAAGAGAAGAAATTGTTAAACTTAATTATAATAACGATGCGCACAATGACTAATAATATAATAAATTATACATATAACGTACAATCATAATTATCAGTCGATTATAAATAGAACGAATAAAAGAAATGGAAACACTCTCATCGTGCCATTTTTGCAACAATGCGTTCAAATGTAATATGACGTTGTTTCAGATAAAGCTGTACCGTCCAACAAAGTTTGCGGCTTGTACGAGGTTGAAGAAGAAAAGAGCGAGTGAGAATCATCGACAGCATTCTAGTCAATGTAATAACACGTCAGTATTGTTTATTTGAATAATAGTATATCCGGTATATCTAATAACTAATATTTATACATCACGAATGGCATAATTATTCTTGATTTTTTAAAACTTTTATAGAGAGTGATATTATTAATGTTATATCAAGCGGTATTATTAATATTATATAAAGTTTATATAATCAGACATTTTGTAAGTTTACAATATCTCGTAAACATTAACTTAATGTAAAAGGCAATAGGCTTTAAAATATTATTATAACACATAATGATTTTTAATGTATAATTCACGTTGCTATATCGTTGAATTATTCTTCCACTTTGTATGATGAGCTTGAAAAATTCAAACTTACTGGTTGGGATACAATGTTGAAAAGACATGAAATGATGTTATCTTGAATAAAATAGTCAGTCGACAATTTGTCAGCAATTTATTGTGCAAAAGATTTTTTCACTAAGCTCGAAGCACTCGGTGTTAAAATATTCTATGCATTTAGTTAGCATTGTCATCCCCCTTCGACTGCGTCGCGTCGTCGCAGTTCTTCTTTCTCTCTCTCTTGAATTCAAGTTCTCCGTAACAACTCAATTTCACGAATTACATCCGTCTTGAGTTATCACTTACTTTGTCGTACTCGACAATGCACTCGTGCAAATCGCGCACAACATCCTCTTTAACAAAATAGTTGTATTTTTTTACAATATATTTTATAATTTTCTATATTTATATTAATCGATTTTTTTCTAAAAAGAGATTTTTAGATTCGTATATACGATTGAATATACACAAATTAGTGCACCAATAGTTGCCAGATTTTATACAATATAATTATTAGACTTTTTCAACGTCATCTAAAATAAAAGCTATTATCTTGACATTTATTTAAATCGTTTCACCGTTTTAAGTCTTCAGCTTATCATTATCACTGCATGTAATCGCATGATCCATCGATAATATCTCAATTATATACACATAGAGCCGATACTCTCTCGGCTGCGATAATGCAGTTGTAATTAGGAAGATTCGCGAATCCATCATCTGCTATGAGAGAGTCGAGAAGCTATTTGCAGATGCAGTTTGCGATGCTCCAATAATAACTTTCGGAACGAACAATCGAGAGATAAAGAGAAAGAGAGAGGGAAGGGATAAATACTTTTATTGTTACTTTTATTCGTAGAATAAACTCTCAAAGGATTAGAACAACAGAGAAAAAGTAACATTGCGGGTGAGAAAGGGGAGAAGGAGGAAGAACGGGAGAGGTAGGAAGAGCGGGAGGGAGAAAAAGAGAGACAGGGGCTCTTGTAATCGGGTTGTCGAAACGAGCTCCGTGCGCCTCGTCGAAACTCAGGGTGAAGAGACCCCCATGGTGTGGTGCTGGTTTCCTACTGCATAGCTGAGGGTTGAAATCGATACCGTTTCCAGGGTAACCGGTACGGTGCCTGACACACAGGCGAAGGCACACGGGCCAAGGCTACCTACTCATGCATTTTCATGTGCCCGCCGAAAAAGACCAAAAGACAGGAGGCATTGTTGGTACGGGACGGTCAGTTCGCGCGAGAATCGCGCGATCGAGTGACGAGAAATTCTCTGGTCTTAAAAAACTCAAAAAAATTCCGTTTCCTAGAGGCGTATTTTTTCCATTTATCTCTCTCTCTCTCTGACCACCCCTCGTAACACAAGATATAATTAAATTAAATCTTTTCATTTTTTTTCTCCCCATTCAATTTTTTTTTCATTTCTACCATGTTATTAAATTCGCTCTGTCAACAATCATAATACATAATAAAGTTTTCGGTTCGATTGTTTTCTCTTTTTTTTTGTTTAAAGTCAGAGAAATTTTTAAGACAATATTTGAAATTTGTATAATACTTTGGTGGTTTTTCATTGTTTGATTATATAAAGTTGGAAAATTATATATACCTAACGAATCTTGTCTCAAATTTTTATTGTTAAAGTTAATTCAAGAGAAAGAAATTATTTTTCTGTGTTTGCAACATCAAAATCGGATTTTGTCTTGATATTTTTTACCACTTGTTTAATTTTTCACAAGTAATCTTTTCATATATCTGTTTTTCTTTTTTCATTGCATGGATTGTAATCTCTTAATTCAATTTACGATTAAAATGTATCTTAATTAATATTAAATTAACATAATTATCGAATGTAAGTTTATATAGTACATTAATTATATTAGTTGAACAACTTACAGCTTATGATGTATAAAGAAAGATGCAGAGAAGTTTATCTTATAACGTTTCAGAGATTTCTATACATTTACTTCTACATAAAACATAAATAATATATAAATTGTTTTTTTATATATTTTTATATTTTCTTACATTTTTGTCTATAACTTGTTCAATTGAATAACATTGCAAAATTTTAGTTTATTAATTAAAGTAACCAGGGATTTTTAGACAATAATAAACGGTAAAAAAGAAGAACAAGTCTTTACGTCGTTCGCGATGGGGGGTCTTCGCTATCTGGGCGGGTCCGGATGGCATCTGCCCCATTTGTCCGCAGTGGTATCACGGATTGTTCGCCACGTTTTATCGCCAGGACGGCCCTCACGGTGTTATCACTGAAAAATGGTCGCGTTGTTGCGAGGAGAACGCACTCAGCCCGGAACTTAATGCGCTATTTTACGCAGCGGTGGCTCTCTTTCTACTCTCATTTCACCATCTCTCCGGTCCTCGTCACACAAAGTTCGTCTTTTCGAGAAAAGACCGCAATATCAGAACATCACGGCCTTTGAAAATCAGCGCTGTCCGTTCTGACAACTCGATAATTGTCATATTTCTTTGAGATATATATATATATATATATATATATTAAAGGGTCTCTTCTCTCTTTCTCTCTGTACTTTCCATCAGCATGAAATAACAGAAAGAGAGAAAGAGGAAAAAAATAAAATCGTGCCATAATTTTCGGGCTCGCAATTGATTCTGAAACGTACGGAATCCCCTGTAGCTGCGTTAAAACGTATTATTGCAGCGTCGTATCGACGTGATGTTGTGAATGCGATACATCGAATGGCAAAATTATTATTTCGGCGCGCGGAGCCAATTACCGTGACCAACGACGTGTTGTAACGATTGCATGTAGTTACGCATGAGGGAATCGACAAACATCACTTTTTTCGTATACGAATGCTGTAAATAACGTTATGTTTATTTAACCGCGTTTTGCTAAAAATTTCAATGAAGTCCCGCAGTCAAATAATTGTTAATAATATTTCTTTTTCGGACACAAATATGATGAGTTAATTAATGGTCATTGGTGTAATCGCAAGAGATATAAATGATATATGATAAAGATGTACAAATAAAAATTATATTAAAAGATATAAAAGTATTAGCTTTTGAATTTTGTAGCTGTGGATTAACACATTTTCGACCGGATTTCTATCTGACGACTGGGCGTTATTTTTAGCCTGCAAAGTAAGTTATGAAAAATCCGAGCTTATATTTTTTAAAAATCACCTTTCAACGAAATATGCATTTTTAGTTAATGTTCAAAGCGGCTATACAAGACCGCACGCGCGGTAAGTTAAATTATATTTTAGATTAAATTAATGGAAGAGCCATTATTGTAATTTGTCATTTCTGAGAACCTTTCAAGATTTATTTGCAGCGAAAGTCTGGATAATATAATTTGGATTAAGTAGTTGTGACTTGTCTTTAATTGGTAAATTTTTGTCATTTTCTAAATTATATTATATACGGTACATATAAAAGAGGGCAGGGAAAATAAAATGTCTTCTAATAAAGAATATTTGGCAGTTTTATTTACGTATGGACTAAAAACAATCAGAGATATCTTTATCACTTAATAATTATAAATAATATTTGTTTAAAAAATGTCAAATATTCTCTGTTAGAAAATATTTTCTATATACATTGAAAAATATGACTGATACCCAAAGAAAATGAGAAAATTGTTGTTTTATATCATAGACATATATAGAATAAATTTAAAATTCTTGTCAGAATTTAATATAATTATTACATCTGTCATCTTTGTTCTCGCAAAATTACATACTTTGATAAGCTGCAAGATAAAATTGAAAATAAATCCTAAAAGAACAAGATTTCGTTATCAACTCTCTTTCCTTGGCCAAAGTTTCTACTTGTATTCGTTTTAATTTAGAAACCATTAAAATACATCATTAATCATTTTTCTAAAGGAAGGATTTCTCTCTCTTCTTATTACCTTACCAATTAACTTTGGAGCATTCTAAAGAGAGTTAATAATGAACGCGAGCGACATGTAAAAGAGAGGAATTTAAGTTATGTTAAGAACCAAGGTGCTCGTCGTAGAAACGACTTGTCGAACAAAACAACACCTGACTCCTAAAAGCGAATGTCACCCTTGTACACATGATCCCGAGATCTCGCATAGGAATATTTGAACATGAACCTCTCGTCATCATTGTTGTTACTTTCCTCTAATGGTGCTCTACAGAGCAATAACATGATTTCTTTCTTCTTACCTTATTGCCGCCGTGATAGCGACAGCCGTATTCGTATCTACAGGTTGTTGATTTTATCATTGATGCAGACATTTCAACTTCCGCTCCGTTGCAACCCTCTTGACGCACCCTATCCCGCTGTCTCCCTCCCCTTTCACCCTCGTTCTTTTCCTCCTCATCCCCTTCTCTCTCTTTCTCGCATCTCGTCTTTCAAGATACCCTCCTCGTCCTCTTCTCCAAGTCTTCGCCTCGATTTCTTGCGTAGGTTCGGAAGATCAATTTACTGCAGCAAACTCCGTCATCGATTGGACGGTCTTTCGTCTTCCTCCGGCACAAAGACGGAGAGTTTCTTTAATTAGCAAAAGGAGTCGCACCTCGCATTTTTACGATCGACGCGCGCTCGTTTCTTGAATTACGTAGAAATCACAGAGTTTCGCTCGAAATGAATTATGCAGCATTAATCAAGGCGAACAAACGATCACGCGTTTTTTAAGCAATTAAAATATTACGTTTCCTTTGTATATTACATTTTCCTTTTGTAAGGAAATCAATGCAGTCAATTGAGAAGGAGTTTTTTATTTATAGAGATCAGTTTTATAGTTCGAAGCGGACATCTAAATTGTTTATAAATGAGAGATGTATAAATAATTCGTTTTAATGTTACCGGATACAATTTAATCACTTAAATATTAGGTAACCAATTAAATATTCCGTGAAATAAATGGTTCTATTAATTTCTTTAGAGTTTGGCAAAGAATGACATATAGCACAGATAACAACATTATTCCGGGAAACGCTTTAATTACGCAGGAAACAAAGTTGTAATAATTTTATTTGGGATATTTTACTTGTCTGCAGACTGACGATTTCAGAGATTTTCGCAGTTCTAATAATAACAATTGCAGTCTCTCTCTCACCTCTGTAATTTAGAACCACAAATAAATTCATTAAATGCACGCAT